GATGCCTCCTGTCAATGTCATAATAAAACCGAGGGCCATCAGCGCCTGCGGTTGGCACAAAAGATACGAGGAGCGTACTCAGGCGCCCGCAGAATGCTGGCAGGAAGCAGTTACTCCCCACTATGATGCTGAGCCAAAATCCTTTCGCGCAACCAAAGACGCACACCAGCAGAAGTGCTGGAACGTTGGCTAAAGCGAACCTGACGAAGAAACCCATGACCGTGAGACCGGAATCGTCGTACATGGCCTGTTGGAAGCAAGATACAGGTGTAGCTGAAGCGGCTTGTCCAGTTCCTGTGTCAACCACTATGCCCCAAGCATGCAATGCGTCTCGGAAAAACACGGACTGCCCTGCAAACACTTCGGCATGCATGAGGGCCGCCAGGCAGCGAGAAGCAATGATGCCAAAGGCCATCAATTGGTTCACAAGGACGGCACTCTCCTTCCTCCCAGCTTTTGCACCAAGCACTGAAGAGGACGCGAGCACGAACACAAACAGATCCTTGCCGAATAGGAAGCTGGCAGCCATAACCCAAACCGACGGCGCAGTGGGACACTTGAACTTACTAAAGGGGTCGGCATAATCCCCGGACCCATAGCAGGGCGTGGAGTACTCACATCCTTCCCCGATCGCCCCTGGCGAACACATAGCTGTCTGATTCTGGTAGGCCAGCCGTCCTCCTGCAGCTCAGGAACACTGTCGATACAATGACGGCAATGAAATATGCACGGCTTGAAAAAAAAACAGTATAAGCGGCAAGTAAACACAACCGCCCATGCAAGCAGCATAACGCCTGGCTCAGACAATTGCGAGCTGCGTGGAACGGATAAAAATTAACCTACGTCAGTTTGCTGTGTAGAAATGGTCTGCTTGCCGCTTGCTGCTTTCACTATCCACGCTCGAGGCCAAGATGTGCAGGGGCCACGCTTCGCCGGTTTGAAGGAAGAACCGTGGACAGCTCCTGGTACGTGCCTCAATGCTCGGAATCTATATCCCTGCCTGCCCTACCTGTCTCAAGTTCACAAGTCCACTAAGGGTCGGCCAAATGAAATGCGCTCGCAAACTTTATTGAGATCCAAACTCTGTACCTGAGGCATCCTGTCCTGGGCAGGAAGCAGCACTCGGACAGAAATAGGTCCGCTTAACCGACTCCAGTTCGCTGAAGTCATTGATTGACGAGAGGTTCGGGACATCGAGCATGTAACCAGCCTGCCGGGACGAAGTGCTGGGCTTGCAGTATCCCTGAAAGATGAAAGCAACGATTACAACAACACAAGATTTGCGGCAAGCTGCTCTCGCTGTGCACTCGAACAGTTCAATTTGGCTTCTCTCTTCTCCGCGATGCGGGGACTATGAAGTTGTCTCATTCATTCGCCTGACTGCGAGAAAGTGCTCCCATGTTGCTGGCTGTTGGGATTTGGAAAAATCATCATATGAGCCGAAGCAAAGCAATTTAGTGCCTGTAGAGCTTGTTATGGGAAGGAAATTCACGTTTCACGTGTGTCCGGCGTTCAACGGCGACCTTTAGATCAACCGAGCATGCTGGCTGGGCTGTCCCAGCTCTGAGAGTTCCGCGTTCAAAGCTTTAGATGCGGACAGAATCAACATGGAGCTATAAGCTCTAAAAAACATTAAACACGAGATACCGAGAGTGGGCTTTGACGTTTTTCCAGCTGCTCGGTCGGTCTGGCCTGCATTGTCACAGACACGGCGTCACAGGCCTGCGCTTCGCGGGGGCATGGGAGGCAATGCGGATTGCGCCATGGAAGCGGCTGAAAATACCTCAGTACCACGGAGACACGCAATCAAAAGCAGTGAACTGAAGGAACGTATGCCGGACGGGCTAATGCGGCCAAGATGCCCGGGCTCACACAATCTGCAGCCATATTGTGTGTCATCAGGACCGATATGGTCTTCGAGTTCGCGCCCAGGTGGGCAAAGCATGGAAGGGATGCGCAAGGTTGTAGCGAGCACAACGCATTGGTGGGTTGCTGTGCAGTTCACTTCTGATATGGAAACGTTCGGGGCCGACAGATACGGCTCGTGTCCAGCAGAAGGGCCATCATAGACGAAGGTCAAACGTTGAATGGAGACATTGCCCACGGAATGCACATCTCGACATTGACATCAGCCAGTTCAGCACCCCAACTAGAGCTGAAGGCCGCGCCTGCATAAGCCTTACAGAAGTGAAACGACATCGTGCCACAGCTGTGGGTGAGCCGCACGTCAAGATTCTCGAAGCCACCTCCTTCTCGACCAGCGGTGCACTCGACAAAAGTCACGTTCGACTTGTCAAGGCTCATCTGTGCCTCACGGGCGTGCATTCCACCGCCATATGCGCCGGCAGCACACTGCTTGAATTCGAGACTCGCAACTTGAGCTGCCACTGCAGACCCATTCGCGATCTGAAGTCCTCCACCTCTATATGTCGCACGGCAGTTCTCAAAGCTGGCGTTGGAATGCATCAGGTCGAGAGCACCGGACAACGATAGGCCACCCCCGAAGACAGAGGAGCAGGAATGGAAAGCCAAGCGTGACTGGTTGATTCTGCATGGGTTGGAGCCAGCCTGAGTGCAGCCCAGGAACATTCCACCTCCTTGCTCACCGCTCGTGCAATTGTTGAAGTACATAGCACCACTTTCCTCGTAGAAGCTCCCATTCACCTGACAGGAACTTATCTAAGCCTACACAGTCTACAGTCCATGCTTTCAAGTTCGCAAACAAATAAGTGCCGGATGAACCGGCACTCCCCAAAACACGACAACAGCGCGATTGCTTGTCTGTCACAGCAACGTACACCCCCCCTGCAGCACGTCCACTCGTGCAGGTGTTGAGGTTCACGGACCCACCCTGCTGGTCGAATCCTCCGATTACCTGGGCTGAAACCGGAACAAACGCAGACGAAGCTCCGGATGCTCCATTGAGTCACTGGACACCTGAAAGTGACACATTCCTGGACGAACAAATTGAAAAGGCCTTGGGAGTTTGGACAATAATCCAGGCTGCGTAGAGAGCTCCCCCGAATTCTTCAGCGCTGCAGCGCTCAAACGTCATCCGAGCTTCTTGCAATAGCAGAGATCCGTCGACGGCAAGCCCTCCCCCACAAGATTGCCAAGATTGCTGCTGGTAAATGCGCGGGCCAATCATGAGGGATGATGCCGTGCAATTTGTAAACTCTGCTTCTCCTCCGCTGATTTGTGTCTTTCCTTCGACAAAGATGGCTCCACCTTGGAAAGCATGGCAGTCATGGAACTCCAGCTTTCCTCCTATCACGGTCAGATCTCCCAGAGTTCGCAAAGCGCCACCACGGCCGAAGGAGCGGCAACCACTCATCCGGAGGAAATCCATCTCAAGCATCAGGCTGCCCTCCACGAAGAAACAGCCGCTCCAGGCCATGTCCTCTTGGACTACCACCTGAAGTCAGTCCGGTTTGAGGTCTTAGGTTATTTCAGGGATTCTACGACTGGGTGACCGGACATGTGTCTTAACCCTGATGCCGAGCACCTGCAGGCTCCCTGTGAGGCGAACATCTCCCAGAAAGTGCAGCGGGCCGCTCAGCATCAGCATCGTGCCATGCTCCGCGTAGATGACGCAGCTGCGCCTTGCGTTCACGATGTGCTTCGCGGGAAAAAGGTATTTGCCACTGAGGGTGACACGACCTGCGCAGAGACGTAGGTGCCAGTGGGGAACTAACAAGTGGGCATGCCAGCTAAACGAGTCGAGGTGGAGCATGGCTGCTGAAAAGCACACAACGCAGTTGACTTGCAAAACACCTCGCAAACGTAATGCGGAGCTTGCACCTTAAAGGGTAACTACTACACCAAAGAACACTGAATCCAATCGCATCCAAATCAGCTGCCCCAAATACCCTAACCCCTAAACCCTCCAGTGTGCTCCCTTCAGCCCTTGGCCTTCACAGGAGTCCGGAAAGTCCGAGGGAGTGAGCTCCCCGATACCCAAGCCTCAAACTGGAGCACTTAGGGTTTATAATAGGGTTTAGGGTTTAGGGAGTTTAGGAATTGAGAAAGAATGGAACAAAAAACACAATACACGGAATTACGGATGGGCTGTAAGCAAGCATCACACACCCTGTAATTTTAACTTTGAACTGCCTTCAGACCCAAGGAACTTGGGTGCTGCTGCATCCGGGCCGCGCTCACATCTCCCAACGAGGGTCCCAAAGCAAAAGAGGCAGAGTCGTGTAAGCGGAGCTAGCCTGAGCTGGCCACTTTTGCCCAGCCGTCGACTTGGAAGGGTTCTTAAGATATCATCTCGCATTGATTCGGGCTGCATAGGAAGAAGGCGAGGGCCACATGGAGAGCCTACAGTATGGGACTTTGGGTGCCTCTCTTGTGTCACTGCCGGGGATTCTTCTGCCCACGGGTCCTGATGTTCCTTGACCAGCACATACGTGAGCCACGCCAGCTACATCCAAACTGAAAGCGCAGCAAACAACTGCTCTTACAAATGCCCGGGAACATGGCCCTGGAGCTCAAGGCCAGCTGTCACGCAACACCCGGTCTGGGCATATGGATCGAAATTTGGCAAAGGTAGGGTAGCTAAGGTTTCCTGCCGACAGTTGCGACGACGGAGCCGACTGAGCCAAAAACAGTTCCGACAAGATGGCACGTGGGTTGCTCTGCTAAATCAACGCGCAGGCAGGTCAACAAAGATCGATTCCAGCATGAAGCTGCGAGCAACGCTCCCGATGCTCCCGGCCCACCTGCACCACTGACGGCCAATTGGCGGGCTGCAGACCTGCATGAATTGGCTGCGCGGAAGTTACTGTTAGAGATCCTTCTCGTGGAAAACGGAACCCCTGCATAGAACCCTTAGAACCCTGAGCACAAACACTTGTCGAACCCTTGTTAAAGCCCCTGAAGGCACATTAAGCTGCCGGGGCGCATCAGCCGGAGAAGCTCTGAACACTTTCTGGTGCCTGGCGGCTTCCTGGCCGATGGATTTTGGGTTAAGGGCTCTTAGGGTTGCGGGCTCCTGGTTGAGCCAGCCCTACCTACCTACCCTCGGAGCCCAAATCACCTCTGGTAGGTTACTGCTTTATAAGGGGGAGGGATCCGGAAGATGATGTGAAGTAGCTTCCTTACTCAAGTGGCTTTGCATGAAGTCTCTGGGGTTCACCTACGAAGCCTCCTTAGAAGACCCATCTGGTCTCCACATGTCCCAGGCCCCAGAGTCTCGACCCACGAGCCCCATCTCCATGCTTATCTACAAGAAGCCTAAACTTAACCCAAAAAACGAAAGCCCAAAACAACCGACAGCCCAAGACAGAAACTCAGGCTCGGCGGACGTTGATGGTATGGAAAAAGCGTCCCCCCTCACCACAGACCGTAGTACGCAAACCCGCTCCAAGGGCAGCAGCACAATAACACCCGAGCTCCCCACACCCACAAAATAAAGCCTAAACCCTAAACCGTACCTAAACCCAAATCAACCCGGACGCAGAAATAGAGAGACTGCTCCTAAACCCTGATTAGCCCTGGTCGGTGTGTGTTGTGACAGCAGTGTTTATCTTAAAACCCCTATAAGCCAAAGAGGGCCCTCTAAACCCATCCAGGCGACCCGAAACCCTAAACCCAAAATCCTAAACCCAAAATCAAAAACCCTAAACCCTAAATCCTAAATCCTAAACCCAAAGCCCCAAACCCCCAACCCAAAACCCTAAACCCATAAATTCCAAACCCAAAAACCTCAACCCTAAATCTCAAAATCCGAAACCCAAAACCCGAAAGCCCCCGAGCTCCCCCCCCTCGACCTCTAAAGCCTCTCTTTCGAAGCCTCGACTCAAAAGGAAACCTGACAGAGAAACCCAAATCTCCAAACCCAGAAAGCCCAGAAAAGCACATCTGAGCCGACGGATCCCTGAGCCAACCTAAATCCTAAACAACCCCAAACCCTAAACCCTAACCCCATAAACCCCAAACCCTAAACCCTATAAGCCCTAACCCACCCCCCAAAAACAAAAAAACAAAAAAACTGCACCTGAGCCGACAGAGCACCCTAAATCCTGAACCCTAAACCCTATAAACCCTAAACCCCTAAACCCAAAACTGCACCTGAGCCGAT